CCTCCTCCTCCTCCTCCTCCTCCGCCTCCTCCTCCTGCTACGCCTCCTCCTCCGCCTCCTCCTCTCCTGTTCCTTATCGGTAACTCCTCCCTGTCGCTCCCCGAGGTCGGTCAAAAGGTCGGGCCAGGCGTTTCGCCTGAGGCGTCCTCACCATTCATGATCCTAAAGCTTAGAGTCGGCAACAGCTTCACATATGGAGGGCGGGTTGTTTCCAAAATGAGTTGATTGCCCTAGCGCCGCGCACATTCGTTTTAAGGTGTTGCAAGACCTTCACGGATTGACGGCGAACGTTTTCAAAGTGTGGCTCTCGCCATAGCGCCACGCACACTCGTTCTAATAAGTTACCAGAGTAACGGGTTGAAGGTGGACCTTGTTCAAAGTGTGGTTCTCGTTTCTGCGCCGCGCACATTCGTCTTCTCGGTTGCAAGAGTTTCACGGATTGAGTGCGGCTCTTTTTCAAAATGTGGTTCTCGCTTCTGCGCCGCGCACACTCGTTATAAGAATTTGTAAGGGTTTCGTTGGCTCCCATGCTTTACGCATCACAAATGGTGTTTTGGAACGCATCAGGATTGTCAGGGCGCAGCAGTTACGTGAATTCGCGGCTCTGAAGTCCCAGGAATGGCGTCCTGGCAGGGTTCAGAACCGCCAAGCTGTGACAGTCAGGTTAATTCGTGGCGCTGCAGTCCTGAAAACGGTATTTTGGCACGCCTCAGGATGTTCACACGGTTTTCCCCCAACTGGACAATTTCCCCCGTGGAATTGAACACTTGTAGGAGCCTATGAAGAAGGGGCTCGGAAGGAGGGTGTAGTCCAACATCGTTGATGAGTCTTGGGTTTTCATTGGTCCTTTTCCTCATCCTCCTCCTCTTCCTCCTCCTTCGCCCTCCTCCCTCCTCCTCCGCCCTCCTCCGCCTTCTCCTCCGCCTCCTCCTCCTCACCCCTCCTCCTCCTCACCCCTCCTTCCTCCTCCTGCCCTTCCTCCGCCCTCCCCCGCCGCCTTCTCCTCCTCCGCCTTCTCCTCCTCCCTCACGTTGTCCCCGTGGTCCCGGGGCTCCCCCTTACTTTTGCTTACACATTTAAGTTTCACAGGATGCGATGGAGGTTTCTCTTTTACAGCCTGTTACAGCACCCGCCTCCTCGATCCTCTTCCTCTTCGAGAAATTCCAGGATCTCCCCGACCCGGAGCAAAACCTGAGCCTTTGGGAAGAGGTCATCCGAAAATCCCTTACGGCCTGGAAACTTACCATCAGAGAAGCCCGCGAGGCGACAATGCGGCAGGTGCAGAGAGAATCCCCTCGCTGCGACAGCGGAGGCCGAAGTATTTGACGTGTTGCATGATGCGGGAGCCCCGCATGCCCTAGACAGTCCACTTCACCCTCGGCAGAATCAGCGGCTACGGGAGGCACGCGAATGGAAGTGTTTCGGGTGCGGTCTCTCGTTGATAAGGCCAATGGGCTACGCACCCATATCAGCCGTCAACATCACACCACAGTGCACCACATCAAGCGTATTCAAGGCAATAGTACACAATGCCTTGCGTGTCGCCAATGCTTTGCGCACCGCTCCGCGCTTACAGCCCACCTTGCTTGTGACGTTCCTGTATGTGCCGTGAAGTACTGAGTCACAGACACACACTGCACGTACGAGGAGGCTTGTCAACAGAACGAGGAGGAGGACAGGAGGCTCACGGCACAGAGGACGGCAGGTCAAGGAAGGTGGCGCACAACACGGCCAGCATAATTACCGAGCGACAGCGTCACCCCACACGGTTGCACCTGCGCCAGTCATGCTCTTTGCCACGTGGATGCTAGAGATGTGTTTCTAGAATCCGGTGTTGCTCTACCGCCAGAACTTTACGACAGCTATCGGCGGCTATACTCCGCCAGAGCTGAAAAGGAACCCGCCGCCGCTACTCAGGAGCCTCTGCACTACAGACGTAACCCAGGTGAGTTTTATGGATTTGCAGACTCGCAGGTGCCTGTACGGATGAAGTTGAACATTTTCTATGGTTTGAATATCTTCTGTGGGCTTCGTCGGTCTGGGGACGTCCAGTGGCATATCGAGTATTATGTCGCGGCATCTTCGATCGAGTTGGTTGTACTCAGCGTCGAGACAGCCTGAGACCCCGTGCTCGGAGACCTCACTCGAGAATATACCATCCTTGAGTGGATAGAACACGTTCGGTGTCATCGGGTCGTCAACACGGGGGGGGCTGTGAAACTTGGTCGGCGTCTCGGTGACAGGACGCCCCCGCCTCCCCCCCCCCTTGAGGTCCATGCAACACGTTTTGGGCCCCCCCTGGATCTCCAAGGGGCACTCCGAGCAGGTCCGTGTCGGTTCTCGGCTGTATGTCGTTTTGGTTCGTATGCCAGTTGAACACCTACGGGCCGGCATTTCAGACTGGTTAGAGCATCCAGTTTGTGCCACGTGGGCGCGAGGAGCGCCATCTTCTTTTGACTGGAAGCCTACGCAGGCCATATGGTCTGCGCCGTGTGCATCACGTACTGACTGCGGCGGAACTCAAGACCTTGAGACATGCCCAGCTAGTGTAGGTAGAGCCCCGACAACGATTGGTTCGGTCTGAATGCCTACCCTGAGAATGCCGCTGCTCCAACGGGAGAGAATCGCACATGACCTTCCTCGGTAAGTTTCCCTCGGGAGAGTTTAAGGCGGCCTCGAAGAAGGCTTGCACTAACAACTTGTGCCGCCGTGTCATTGCCACGGTCATTACAAACTCTATTACCGCCCTCATAGCCCTTGAGTCCTCAAGCGGACATACAGCTCTGTGTTCATACGCCGAGGACGCAGACAATATTATAAGAAAAGGACGCATAGCCTTTCACGTTGCTCGATCTAGGGATTGCCCTTGGCAGGGGGGACCAGCCCACCACGAAATGTGCCCTCGACTTCGCGGGGTTCAGTTCCAGGCGCGAGGATCGCAAGCGTAGGCAAGTGGATCCCGAGCGCCACAGGTTTAGCAGTGACCAGAGCAGTGATGACGAGCCCCCTGCCAAGGCCCAGAGGGTCCTTGAAGAGGACCCCAAGCATGCGGCCTCTGCGGACTCCGACGCGGAAGCCGAGCAGGCAGTTGTCGACCAATGCGTTGGCTCCCCTGAGGGCCGAGCTGGTTCCTGGCCCCTGGCCCCTTCTTTGCCCCCTGCCTCGCCCACCCCCATGCTGCACCATCTTGCCCTCACCCCCGTCCAGAAGGCCAGGACTGCAGCGAATCGCGAGGAGGCCAGGCAGGCGTCGCCGCCCGATCTGCCGACCCTTTCTTTCATGTTTTTCTCTTCGGAGTTGAGGTCACAGGGGCCTCAGGCTCTGGCGGGTGGCGTAGTCGGTACTCTAGCGCCACCCCGCCCGAGCCACCAACGTGTGGGCACGACCACGTCCTTTCTGCGTGGCCTTGTTCGCTCGGCCCACTCGCTGGCCCCGTCGGCTTGTCATGCCGTGCCTGCAAGCTGCGCGCCTGTCGCGCCTTATTGTGCCGAGCTGAAACCGCACGGCCGAGCCGAGGCTCGATCCGCGCGGGGCGGCGGCCATAGTGGGCGCTCCGAGAGAATCTCGCGAAGCCGCCACCCAAAAGCGGCCCTCGCCGAGGCGAAGCCGTGCTCTGTCTCTTCGTTGGTTCTGCAAGCTGCTCGCGCTTGTCATAGGGGCCCGTTTGGCTTTTCGGTTTCCTTGGGGCGCCCCCCGCCAAGATCAGACCTGACTGTGCTGCAGCCGTTAGTGCGTTAGTGTTCCCCTAGTGGGGTTTGGCGGTCAGGTGGCGGAAGTGGTACATGTGCGCCACCCTGACCCGCCCCAAAGTTGAGAACGGCACTTGCCCATCCCATCATTGCGCGCGTCTCGTCGTCGTCATCATGATTATCTTCCGCCTCCCCCTTTTATCCCCTGGTCCTGCTCCGCGCGTCGCCTGCCCCTGCTTCGGATGGACGGGGGGGAGCTCCCTCGCCGTCGGTGGCAGGGGTAGCCCATGGATTCCGTGGCCGAAGCGAGCGTGCCGCCAGCGCACCTCGGCAAATGCGCCAACGTTGTTCGCGGATTGGGTTTCATTGTTTTTTTCACAGGGATTTCCTACACCCCGCAAAATACGAGCAGGATTCCTTCGACAGCGTTTGTGCAAGGGTACGAGTGTGTATACATTTATCTGTGTAGATATATATATATATATATGTATGTGTGTGTCTGAATATCTATATATATATATGTATATATATGTGTGTGTCTGTATCTATTTATATATGCAAATATATATATATATATATATATATACATATATATATATATACAAATGCAAATACATATCTAGATGGTCTTCCCAAGGCACGCGTGAGCCACTCCGCATCTAGAGCCGGTGGCCCGTGAGATCTGCCGCATGACCTCCCGCAGGCGTTCTTCCGTAGTGGTTTCCCGCATGCGTTTGCTGCTCTGTGGCAGCCCGTGCAGTCTCCCGCAGGGCTGCCCGCATGGTCTCCGCGTGGGGCCCCGCAAAGTCTCCAGCGCGGTCGTCCGCAGGGTCCCCCGTATGGCCTCCTGTGGGTTCCTCCGCGTGTGATCCCGCATGTGTTCTCGCACGTTCTCCCGCATGCCTTCCCGCATGGTCCCCCTGTACGTGTTTCCGCATGCTCCCCCGTATGATATATGGTATGGCCCCCTGTTTGAACAGTACACTCATTTGTTATCATTGCGCATTAAGGAGGTTGCGTACGGCAGTCTGCCGCCATTGTAGGATGAGTTGATTGGTGGCGGTGGAAATCCTCCACCGAGAAGCTCAATTTTTCAGAGAAGTCACGGGATAGCAGAAACACTTTGCATTAATTCTCGGTTGGCTGTTGCTGGCTGTTCCAGACCTGCCTCTGTTTACAGTGAGAATTGCCAGCGCGATCCGCCGGCAGGGGGCTGGCCAATCCAACGTGATCACGCTGGGGTACATCTGGCTGTTGCTGGCCAGCCTCAGCGCCTGCGGAAACGCAAGTTTGATGACAAACCCCATGCAGGCTCCTCTTTATCACGCTGCCTCGCCTCCCACAGCTTTGCCGTGGCCACTGTCCACGGAGATGACGCCGTCGACCGCGCCGTCGAAGCAGCGGCTATCCATCAGCGGTCATGGCCCACCTCGGGTGCCCAAGCGTCTGGTAGAGCCGTTTCGACGGGGCATCGGTCTGGGCACAGCGACTTGCTGTAGGCGCGTCCCTCGGGCGCGGAGGGTCCAGTCTCGCCAAGCCGCGAGATTGGAGGCCGCGGGGGACTAGCAACAGCGGCCCGCTTGTATTCCCAGGAGCGGCCCAGGCCGAGGCTAGAGAGGGAGAGAGAGGTCCCGTGGCTTGAGAGATAGGGAAAACAAAAAAACATGCCCTTGAATAGGGGGGAGGAGGAGAGGATACAAAGAAAGAAAGTGTATGAGAGTGAGAGAGGTGCGAGGCGCTATGATAGGAACAAGTGGGGTTGGATTCCAGGAGGGGGTATATATAGAGAGAAAAATAAAGGTGCAGATATGTGTACGCATGAAACAAAAAAAACAGCTATAAGTATGACACAGGATTACCAGCGTCGGCCACCATCGGTGCTTGCTTGCACTTGACAAACGATATGTGGTGCTAGATATACTGTTCACAGCATGTGCTGTATACGGTGTGGTTCGAGTTACGTTGTGCACGGCATGCGAGCTATTCGGTTCAGTGCAGGGCACGTGGCGCGATATATGTGGCGCAATCTACGTAGTGGTTGCTATGTGATGCGTACTACATGGTGCAATATACGTGGCGCAGTCTGTGGTGTTCAACTATGTGGTGCACTTTACGCGGTGCAGCATTAGTAGTTGTAGTAGTTGTAGTAGTAGTAGTAGTCGTCGTCGTAGTAGTAGTAGTGATAGTAGTAGTGATAGTAGTAGTGGTAGTAGTAGTAGTAGTAATAGTAGTAGTAGTAGTAGTAGCAGTAGTAGTAGTCGTAGAAGTAGCCGTTGTAGAAATAGTAGTAGCAGTAGTAGTAGTAGTAGTACCCATAGTAGTAGTAGTAGTAGTAGTAGTAGTAGTAGTAGTAGTAGTAGTAGTAGTAGTAGTAGTAGTAGTAGTAGTAGTACTGGTAGTAGTAGTAGTAGTAGTATAGTAGTAGTAGTAGTAGTAGCAGTAGCAGTAGCAGTAGTAGTAATAGTACTGTAGTAGAAAGTAGTAGTAGTAGTAGCAGCAGCAGCAGTAGTAGTAGTAGTACTGGTAGAAGTAGTAAGTAGTAGTAGTATAGTAGTAGTAGTAGTAAGTAGTAGTAGTAAGTAGTAGTAGTATATAGTAGTGGTGGTAGTAGTATAGTAGTGTAGTAGTAGTAGTAGTAGTAGTATAGTAGTAGTAGTAGTAGTAGTAGTAGTAGTATTAGTAGTAGTAGCCGTCGTAAGTTGAGTAGGAGTAGCAGTAGTAGTAGTAGTAGTAGTAGCAGTAGTAGTGGTAGTAGTAGTGAGTAAGTAGTAGTAGTAGCAGTAGTAGTAGTAGTAGTAGTAGTAGTAGTAGTAGTAGTAGCAGTAAGCAGTAGTAGTAGTAGCCGCCGTCGTACCAGTAGCAGTAGTAGTAGCGGTAGTAGTAGTACTAGCAGTAGTAGTAGTAGTAGCAGTAGTAGTAGTAGCAGCAGTAGTAGTAGTAGTAGTCGTCGTTGTCGTAGTAATAGTAATAGCAGTCGTGATAGTAGCACTACTGCTACTACTAGTACAAGTACTAGTACCAGTACCAATACGAGCAGTAGCAGTAGAGGCAAGAGTAGTAGTTTCAGTTGCAGCAGTAGTAGCAGCAGTAGTAGCAGTAGTAGTAGTAGTCGCAGTAGTAGTCGCAGTAGTAATAGTAATAGTAGTAGTAGTAGTAGTAGTAGTAGTAGTAGTAGTAGTAGTAGTAGTAGTAGTAGTAGTAGTAATAGTAGCAGCAGGAGTAGTAGTAGTAGTAGTAGTAGTAGTAGTAGTAGCAGTAATAGTAGTAGTAGCAGTCGTAGCAGTAGTAGTACTAGTAGTAGTAGTAGTAGTAGTAGCAGCAGCCAAAGGGATTCCTACAGGGATGCCTATAGGGATCCCTGTGGGAATCCACCCCCAAACGTCTTCCACTCCGCGGCCGCTTCTTGTGTGAGACCCTATGGGAGCCGAGCGGCTGGGCGTTGCCCAAACGGCCTCCTCCACGTCTGGGTCAGCTGCTTGGAACTCCTGTAGGGATTCCTATAGGGATTCTTGGAGGGATTCCCAAAGGGATTACTATAGGGATCATGTTGGGGATTCCTCTAGGGCTTCCCATCGGGATTCCCACCAGGTCTCATACAGGAATTCCTACAGGGACTCCTACCGGGATTCACATCGGGATTTCTATAGGGATTCTGATGGGGATTCCCATAGGGGTTCCTACACGAATTCTTAGATGAGTTCCTATAGGGATTCCTAGAGGACTACACGCCCTAAACAACCTCCACACCTCGTCCGCTTCCTGTGTGAGAGTCGTTTTGGACCGAGCGCCTGGGCGTTGCCAAAATGGCCTCCACGACTGGGTCGGCTGCTTGGAATTGTTGTAAGGATTCTTTTAGCCGTCAGAATTACAATGGGGATTCGTATAGGGATTTTGATGTGGACTCTTACAAGGATTCCCATAGGGATTCCCATCGGGATCCCCAAAGAGATCCCCATCGGGATTCCCATAAGGATTTCCATCGGGAGTCCCATTGGGATTCTTATCGGGATGCCCAAAGGAATCCACCCCTAAACGGCCTCCACACCTCGGCCGCTTCCTGTGTGAAACTCTCTGTGAACCGAGCGTCTCGGCGTCGCCCAAACGGCCTCCACGACTGGGTCGGCCCCTTGGAATTCCTGTCGGGAGTCTCGTAGGGATTCCCATAAGGATTCCTACAAGGATTATTATGGGGATTTCTGTAGGGATTCTTGCAGGGATTCTTATATGCATTTCGGCACGAATTCCTATTGGGACTCCGATCCAGATTCCTGTAGGACTCCACCCCCGAACGGCCTCCACACCTCGGCCGTTTCCTGTGTGAGACTCTCTGTGATCCGAGCGTCCGGGCGTCGCCAAAACGGCCTATTGCAATTCTATAGGATCCGATGTGACCCTGTTGGGCTACATATCGGATCCCGTAGCATCGCATCAAAGGATCCTTTCGGACTACACATCGGACCCGTAGGATTGCAGATCGGATCTTTCAGCAGCATGTTGGGTTACATGCAGGATCCTTTAGGAGTACACATAGGATCTTGCAGGATTGCAGTCAGGAGCCTGCAGGATTACACACAGGACCCTGTAGGATTACACAATACGATCCTGTAGGGTTACAGATCGGATCCTGTAGGATTGCATATAGGATCTTGCAGGATTACATATAGGATCCGATAGGGTTGCTGATAGGATCTTGTAGGGTTACATGTCGGATCCTGCAGGATTACATGTCATATCATGTAGGGTGCGATGCCGGATCCTGTAGGATGACAGATAGGACCCTATAGCATTACATGTAGGACCTTTTTTTAGCATCCTGTAGGATGACATGCTGGATCCTTCAGAATCTTGTAGGATCACATGTTGGATCAAATACGCATTCCTTTAGGATCTTGCCGGGTTACATATAGGGTCCAATACGGATTCTTTGAGGGTCCTGTAGGGGATACATATATGATCTATTAGCTAGAGATATCACATACCAATTCGCGTAGCACGGTTCAGACAGAGTCTCGCACAGGAATCAGCGAAGGTGTGGACGCCTTTTGGGGGTGGATTCCTATGGGAATCCTGACAGCAACTCCTATGATAATCCTTTGTTGTTTTTGGCTTTGCGTCCAAATTTGCAGGAATAAAGTGGCACCGCTACAGGAGCCCACTGGAAAAGGTGAGGTGTGGAGGCTGTGCCGGGGGCCAGGCCCAGGTGTGGAGGCGTGCCGTGCCTAGTAGTAGTAGTAGTACTACTACTACTACTACTACTACTACTACTACTACTACTACTACTACTACTACTACGACTACGACTACGACTACGACTACTACTACTGATACTACTACTACTACTACTACTACTACTACTACTACTACTACTACTACTACTACTACTACTACTACGACTACTACGACTACGACTACTAGTAGAAGTAGGAGTAGGAGTAGTAGTAGTAGTAGTAGTGGTGGTAGTAGTAGTAGTAGCAGGAGTTATAGTAGTAGTAGCAGTGATAGCAGTACTAGTACTAGTACGAGTACCAGTACTACTAACTACTCGTGGTAGTACTACTAGTACTAGTAGTGGTAGTTGTAGTTGTAGTAGTAGTAGTAGTAGTAGTAGTAGTAGTAGTAGTAGTAGTAGTAGTAGTAGTAGTAGTAGTAGTAGTAGTAGTAGTAGTAGTAGACGAAGTAGACGAAGTAGACGAAGTAGTAGTAGTAGTGTAACAGTAGTGACAGTAGTAACAGGGGGGAAGCAGCAGCAGTCTCAGCCGCAATAGCAGTAGCAGAAGTACGAGTTTCAGCAGCAGCCGCAAAAGTAGCAGCTGCAAGAGCAGTAGTCGTAGTAGTAGTAGTAGTAGTAGTAGTAGTAGTAGTAGAAGTAGAAGTAGAAGTAGTAGTAGTAGGAGTAGTAGTAGTAGTAGTAGTGTAACAATAGTGACAGTAGTAACAGGGGGGAAGCAGCAGCAGTCTCAGTCGCAGTAGCAGCAGCAGAATTACGAGTTTCAGCAGCAGCCGCAAAAGTAGCAGCTGCAAGAGCAGTAGTCGTAGTAGCAGTAGTAGTAGTAGTAGCAGCAGTAGTAGTAGTAGCAGTAGTAGTCGCAGTAGTGGCAGTGGTACAAGTCGTAATTTTAGTAGTTGTAGTAGTAGTAGTAGTAGTAGCAGTAGTAGCAGTATTAGCAGTAGTAGTAGTAGTAGTAGTAGTAGTAGTAGTAGTAGTAGTAGTAGTAGTAGTAGTGGTAGGAGTAGTAGTAGTAGTAGTAGTAGTAGTAGTAGTAGTAGTCGCCGTCGTAGTAGCCGTAGTGCTGGTAGTAGCAGTAGTAGCA